AGGGGTTTTATGTAATGTGTGTTCCCATTTCCAACATGCAAATTATGCACTATTTGTGAAGCAGTATTTTTGGAGGGAAATTAAACATTCTCTCCATTGATTTTCATTAGCTGAGTCTATTTTACAACTGCCCCAAATGGCAAACCCAGTTAATGTTATTGGTCAGCATTTTCTCAGATCTGTCAATGATGGCATAATCTGCAAGAAAACCCAGAGAAGTACTTAATGTTTAATGGTGGTTTATTCATGTACACAAGATAACAGTCTAAAAACAAAAACACAGAGATTAGAGCACATTCCGTATTGAATTCACAATTCAGGGGCAGTCTGGCGGGCTGTTATTATTTAAAATGTGTCTGTATCACATATATCTAGTCAAAGGAAAACTAACAGAACAGAATGGCAATTAATATAAAACTAACTTTATGATCACGGTACTTTGTGATCACTGAGATTAACATTTCAAAGGAATGTCATTTATGACAATATAAAATCTCACTAGTAGACAGGCAAAAACATTTACAATGATGGAATGGTAGCAAGAACTGCACTGATTGATGATTCTGAATTATTGCTTTTCAAGATTTTTTTTTAACTACGTGGATTGCATCTCTCACCATGGTGAATCGTGGCGTAAACATGTGATTACTCCATATTTGGGGGGAGGGGGGGCAAAGCTCCTCGCTGAACGAATCCCATGCAGATCTAATCCTCTTTGTGTGGCGTCACACGTTTCCCGCCTTTTTTTCTGATAAATGATAACAGAAGAGATTTCAGAATATATTACAATATATTTCTACATTTAAAATTTTCATTAATTATACACACATTTTTGTCACAAAGAAGAGGTTCATTTAGATTCACCAATGTAAATTTTCAATTTTATAATACAGGACAGCAAACACTACACAACTGCATCTGACAGTATTGTGAAAAACCTCAAAAACACTCAATTATTAGTTGTTCCACGTTAACATAGAGAAATGCTGTAAACTTTCCTTAAATAAATTACTTTATGTATAGAATACTTTTTGAGAATACACAAATTGCTACTTTGGATAACTTCACAACAGCTCAATTAAAGCACCTGTATCTTCCTTAGAATTCACTGACCCTAAAATTCACAATGTTTTAAAGGGATGACGGAGAGTAGCAATATCTTTTTGACATGTGCCCACAACACCAGAACATGTGCCCACAAACACAGATGAAGGTGCTCAGGATCGCCAAGGATCAATACATAGATCCCTGATTTAAAGTAACTTCTCTGTGACAGTAACTGACATCAATATCTGTGTAACTGCTATTGTTTTCAGGCTGGAAACACTTCAAACTACTGTCCAGAACGTCCTTCTCCTTGGCTAACTGTTCAGAGGCTGAGCATACAACTGCACGAACAATGGAAGCTGCAACCTCATAGAACATCCTCCTCAAGGCCTCCTCTTGTTCATCTGTATTGGTCTTCGCTGACCCAGAAAGGGACCCTCCACATTGAGGGGCCCCATCCCCCCCAGTCTCTACCTCAACACTAGTACCTACTCCTACTTTAGACTGCTTTGTCATTTCCATTTTGCTGTAGATCTCTCGAGTCAATTGGAGCTTCACACTCACCGCTTTGGGCAACTGCATTGACAGTATCGCACTTCCCGTCTTGACTGAGGATCTTCACGTCCTTCTGACAAGTTTTGCCACTAGAGTCTATGGTCTCCTGGTTGGTCTCCTCATCCTTCACGTCATTCTGGGTTGTTGCTTCATGATTGTGTGCTGCGGTGTCCTCTGATGTAGCATCTGAGCATCCATTCTCACCATTGGCTTTTGGCTCTGTCTGGCCTTCACCCTCTGGTGCTGGATCCGCTACGTGACACTTGTCTGATGGCTGACCAGATGGTGTGGGACTAGTGTGGGACCTCTCCTCTCCATCATAACTCTTGTGTTCACCTGCCACCTGAGCTTCATTATTGCTCTCATTCGGAGCCGCAGTCTGCTCCTCTGATCCAGTCTGTGGGACATCAGTTGCCCCAGCTGCATCATCAAGGCCATCCACATCTTTAGCCTCACTCTCACCAGTACCATCTCCATCTTTCTGGGCTGCTGTACCCTCCCCCATGTCCATGCTGGTGCTCTTCCCCTTTCGCAGTATGAAGTTCTTTAGTGACACAGCACGGTTGAAGTGTGTCCTTTTTGCCTTGGCTGTCTTGCCTGAGTCTTTACCCACCTGTGGTTCATCAGTCTGCTCTTGCTCACCCGCTGCTTCCTCCTCTACTCCACCAGAGTCAGCTGCCCTCTTTGATTTGGGAATAACTCGTTTTTTGAAAGAGGTCCAGATCTCATTTGCATGCTGGTCCACCGATTTTGCATGCTGTGTAGTAGCAGTTACTCCTTTCTCCTCCTCACCCTCAGCATTAGTCTTCTCCTGTGTTTCTACGTCACTGGCTACCTTTACATCTTCCGTCCCCTGTTCAGCCTCTGGGGCATTTTCGTCTTTAACATCTGAAGAGTCTTTGTCCTTTGGTTTGTGGATTCCAACAACTGATGAATCTCTCTTCAGACCTTGGAATGTCCAGGATCTCTTTAATTTCCACCTTTTTTGCCCAGAGTGCTCTGACTTTGTAGTGGAATCCAGTGTCCCACTGTCTCCTGCTCCATCTGCACTGGTTCCTTCTGCTCCCTCAGCATCCTTGGACTCGTCTGTGCTTTTCTTGTGACTTTTCTGAGCCATGAGTTTCTTAAAAGAGTGCCAGCGCTTCATGTTTTTTGTTGTTTGGGGGTTAGACTTGTCTGGCTCATCTGCAGTCGGAGGCTCCTCTGCTTGGTCTGCCACATTTGTACTGGCATCCGCATCCTCCAGCCTGTCTAGTGATTTTGACCGAACCATGCCATGTTTTTGGAGTGCCCCTGCTTCCTCCTTTTTGTCTGTGCTTTTGTGCGAGAAAATTTTAGCAACAGGCTTGCGGATGAAGTCCCTAACACTAGACTTCTCTCCTTGCTTTGGCTTTGCACCAGATGCCTTTTGCTCTTGGGAAGCCTCCTCATTTTCTGGTGCTTTTTCAATAGTCTGCCCATCAGCTGCAGCCATGCCAGTTTCTGCTGGCTGACTAGATTCCTGCTCTTTAGGGCCTGCAGTATCCCCTTGATCGTTCTGGCTAGAGACCTTATCCTGCTCCTCGCCAGTAGAATCCTCAGCGCCTGTCTGCTGCTCCTTCTTTTTCTTCCCTCCCATTACTTTTCCAAGCCCACTTTTATTTAAAAAAGAGTCCCATATTTTCTCAGAGGCTGGCTTGGATTTGCTATCAGCTGGTTGCTCTGTGCTTGGCGGTGCCTCAGTAGTAGGCTGTGTTTCCTCAGTTGAAGCTGGGGCTTCCTCTGTTGAAGCTGGGGCTGGATTTGTGGTGTCTACCTCGGCCTTGTTCTCGACAATGTCTGCTTGGACAGGCTCTGCATTAGCCTCGGTTGCCGCCATATCGAAAATAAAAACTCCAACTATCAGGTCTTCCTCGTTGAAATATACTTATTTCCTTGAGTTCTTTATGGAACTGAGTTCATTGATGATCAGCCAACAGCTCTGTGAGTGTTCCTATCCAACTTATTTCCATAAGAAATGGGCAATTCTGCATCATATTCCGTATGGAGTAGATGGACTTCAAAGCTAGAAGGAGAAAACACAACAATCAGTTTTAAATTGGCTGCATGTATTTCAATCAGCATATGAGTTTTTTTTTTTTACAATGCTTGAAACTGGTGTATCTTAGCTGTACTGTTGTGTTCTATATGGGGTAAAAATAAAGTATGTACTAGACAAACTTATGCTGTCTTTAAGTGCCTCCAATCACCTTGGAGTCAGTGTACACATAATCACTGATGTGTTTTACCATTTAGGCTATTTGGAGTTTTTCTTGTACTTTATAAAATCTCTCATTTAGATATTGAGCTGAAGACACCACATCTTCTGTTGACATTTAGCTTATCTCATTGTGTAAATGCACACGTATGTGTTGTCAGGCAAGGACGTGAAAATGGCAAATGCAAAAATAAGTCCACATACCGTTGCCCATATGACGATGAAAGATCTTATTATAAACCTCTAAACTCTTCACCCTAGGTCAACTCATATCGCTTAACACTGGGGCTGGTTTTGTTTCTACACAGAGGATTCTTTTGAGATTAAAAAAATGAAAAATTTCGTCAGGCTTTCTTGATGCTTAAAGCAATTTAATGCTTCCTCTGAATGACCCACTTGTGAATTTCAAATTATTTTACGTTGTATTTGGTCTGAGACGCTAGAGGTGAAACCACATGTGACATAGTTACATAATTGATTTATTCAAGGAACCTTATGACTGTATGCACCGTAAAATGAGTACAGTAGCATAAAAAACAGAAGCAATATTCTTTGCCTTGTGAAAAGCCTGATGGAAAGAACATGGCTTAATTGGATTTTGCCGTGACTGAGTCTGTTTACTGATGGGGCACAAGACCCTACTTGCCCATCCGACTGACACTGGGACAATTGAGGCTTGATGGTTTTGTCCCCTCTTTTCATGGACAAAACCCTTGCCCTTTGTTATGCAAACACAGTAGAAGAGACTTGGAGAAGCTCCCTCGATAAATCCCTAAGTGTGGGCTCAAACCTTGCTTTGCAGAAGTAGAACATGATTCTAATGAGAAAGGAGGGAAAAGCCAATGCAAATGCTCGAGACAGCAGGTGCCAGTGCTCTTCAAAACCTCATTTGCATTGCTAATGCGTCCCTAACCATCTCCTCCATTTTGTAAAAATGTTTTGATATCAACATCACCCAAGTTGTTTTAACTGACGGCGTTGCACGAGCAGTACGTTTTGCCAAAAAAAAGCGTCGAAAAGACTCAAGGAGACATCCTACTTCTGTTGTGTCTGGAAAACAACCCCGAACAATGCTCATTCACGCCACTTGATTCAGATCACCAATTTATAGAGCATAACAATAGTTAGTGGAATAATTCAAACATATTTCGATTCACGAAGCTTCCAGTAACCGCTAACACGTCTGTCACAGTGTAAATGTGTGATGTGGGAATTATGAAATCATCATGCAGCGGGAAAACAACAACAACCCGCGCGCCACAAGCACAAGCGCGCGCGCATTCCGTGTCTATTGTGGTAAAGCCATGCTTGTTTTATTCTCGAAATCTCGTTAGTATCCAATTCAGCGACCGAAGTGCTTTTGCTTTGTAAAAAGATATGTCACTGACACATAGCCTACACCACAGACTGGACGCATTTGGGAGCAAATTCACACTTGAGTGCGTCTGATAATAATATGCGAGAGGACAGTCTGGCACGTTTGGCGAAGTTGATCGCATGAATGAATGAATGAACTCGTAACAGTTGCTTGAGAAAACACGCAATAGTGAAGCAGATGTCCTTATTCATAAACGTAAACAAAGCAAGACAAACTGGAAACGGATTAATTGAACCAAATACTCAATTTCACTATGCCTACGAATTCAAATCCAGGGCGCAGTCATTGCGCGCCTATTGTCCTTTCCAAATAAATCTCTGCACTTCCTTATATCCATTGTAAATGCATTGCATAGGCGAAGCGTTCAAAACAACACGTATGTATTTAGGCACATAAATGCAAAATGAAGTTCTGCACGACAGAAATACTCATAATAATACAACAAAAACATTGTAACTAAGAAAAGAGTCTGCAAACCTTGTTCCTCGTGTGTAAATCCGTCCCGTGTGCTAGAGGAAAGGTAATAATCTGCTGCAGACTGGAAAAGACACAAACTAAATCCCCGCTCGCATCCTCATGCCTTGACTGAAGAGAGATCTCTCTCTCTGTGTGTGTGTGTGTGTGTGTGTGTGTGTGTGTGTGTGGAGAATTGCGCGCGGGGACGTTGAGGGTCGATCGCTGGTATTAACAGACGCGCAGCTGCGGCTCCATCTATCTCACCCTGTTGCCCTTAGCAACCAGGGAGACCACCCCCACCCTGCCACCACACACACACACACACACACACACCCGCCCCCTAGACTAAGAAGGTTACTGTACGGGGTTGAGATGGTAACTTTAATTTGAGCCACTTCCCCTGATTTGCGTGAAATGTGGTGATGTTGCATCACGACCCATCAGATTGGCTGCGGCAGGTCCGCGGATTGTTTCTGCACCTCGGTGACGCAGGGCAACAGATCGAGTGGTCGGGGAGACTGGGGAGTGTTGTAACGTTCAGTTTCAACGTCTGTAACTAACTTCTATTTCTTAAACTTTGATGTGATTTGTCTGCTGAGTTGAAGTAGTTTAGAAATTACAGAGTTTCCATAAACTGTGTAAATTAATGTCAAGTATAAAGAGTGTACAAGGGGGGTATGTAAAATAAATGTAAAATTTAGTGCATAAAGTTATGGTAAGAAAATAGTGAGAAAATTAAAAAAAATTGGAAACATATGCTTTGCTGCTTTTTTCAGTAGGCTATGATAGATAATGTGCAATGGTGGGATGTAAAAACAATGGGCATTTACATTTTTAAAATTTTATTGTGGTAAAAATAGATTTTTTTTTATGGAGGAATATACATATACAGTATATAAAGAGAAGGAGAGAGAATTGCTTCTGTAATTTCTTTATTTTTCTTTATTTTATTTTTTTCAGTAGCCTACAAGAGTGAGATGTAAAACTGAATTTAAATAACATGAGGTTATTGTGGTAAAAAATAAGAACATTTTTTTTTAAATTAAGTAAAAATGGAGGCATGGACAGTCATTTAAAATTATGCATACACACACACACACATTGTACATGACGTTATTGTGGTAAAAATAAGACAATGAAAAAAAAAAGTAAAAACGGAAGCATGGATTTAAGACATTTAAAACTATGTGTGTGTGTATATATATATTATATATATATATATGCTTCTATTTGTATTTTTTATTTGATCTTTTCATAGACAGAGTGAGGGGGGAAAATACATTTCTGATTTATTTAACACAAATGCAATGAAGTGCAAAATTCAAAATACAGGTAAAACATCTCTATAAAAAATTAAGTTCCTTCCAGTAAAGTCATGATATTTCATGTTTTTAATGTACATGAACATTTGTGTAGATATATCAAATTTATATGATTTAGATGCCGGTTCTGTCCTTTAATGTTCGTTAATATGATATCAAATTTAATTTATAAACCAGAGTCTACTGTTTTTACTCTCACCTGAGGAGGCTGGTATGATAGTGTTGTCATCGCTGTAGCTAAATTCTAATTGGTTAAACTGATGGTGTTACATCTCACCCTGTGTTACACGCTCCCTTACAAAATGAAAAGACATTTGCACAGGCTCCACAAATAGAAATGTGAACAACTGACCTCATTATCTGACGCTAATTGTTGGGGAATCAGAACAAAGGCCCATGTGCGTTTTGGGTTGATGTAACTGGACAGTAAGAAAGATTATTACAAGTATCTACTTCACAGAAAATGCTCTTGAGACCTTAAAGCAGCCAGGGAATGAAATGGAATATTTAGGACTGTGCCAAGGCCAAAATAGTGTTTTATTGTGTGCTTGTTTAAAATATCGGACAAAATTTGCCCCAAGGCCAGAATAATATGTGCGTTCCACTGGAAATGCATCGCTCTGTGATGAATATTTCATACGATTGAGCATCTGCAAGAGAATTCTGCGCTCCTTCATTGAGCTTTAATTTCCTCATGGAGGATGCCACATCTGTCTGGAGGCATCATCGAGTCAGACATTCAGTCTCGGTCTGGCTCATGGCGCAACTGAGCGACGATGAAGGATTATCAAGCTGCCAAAGAATCATAGTAAAATCATCCTCATTCAAGCGAAGGGGAGGAGCATGAGGGACTGGTCAGTTTGAAGGAGCGATCTATAAATAGCAGGGTAACGGGATTATTTTTACAGGACATGAAGTAACTCAGTTATGATTGTGTAGGTGGCTATGTGTGCACGTGTGTGATGAACAGAGGTTTTGTCTGACCTTCCACTGCACTTCAGATATGATAGATCACTTGGCAGGTATAGGCTACTGCCTCTTGATAATACCTGGTCAGGATAGGGAAATATAAATAATTTATATAATAAAAATATATCCGGATTCAGTGACTGCATGAGCACTATATGTTGCACTTTGCTAATAGCACTATATTATTTTTAATTTTGTATTCCTTTTGTATACAGTTTAATCTATGAATGCATTATTTTTAAATCACTTAAAAATGACTCATGTATCTTTTTTTCCTCTTTATTATGGCTGTTACTTCCCTTGAATAACCAATGCAATTTGATTGATAAATGAATAAATAATTGAAATATTTAAAGACAATTCAATGTCTTTCCACTGTGTATGAAATATGATAAAAAAAAATTGAAATAAAAAAATTGAAATGCCTTTTTAAAAAGTGAATCAATGAATGAATAAATAATCAATTAACCAATCAATAAATTATTGATGAATTCAAATAAAATTAAGGCAATGCGATGTATTGCACTGTCTGAGAAAAGTGATATATAAATTAATAAATGAAATTATATTTCATAATAATTATATTAAGACAATCCAGAGTCTTACCACTGTGTATGAAATGTGATTAATTAATTTGAGAATGAATTCATTAATTAATAAAAATGACATTTTTCTAACCTGTGTCTCAATGTCATGAGCAACACAGCAATGAGAGAAGAAGGATGTGAAGGTCAGCTGTTGGTTGCAGTCAGACGTGACGGATTGTAAGAAAAAACAACAGGAGTTCCTCAAAAAAAAAAACTGTTCTTCCCACAGTTATGGCATCTGTAAACACATAGGTCATGCACAAGCTTCTTCCTTCAACAGCCCACAAAATCCTGCCACTAAGCCTGTAAATGCACATCTGATGTCACATATAGGCTCTAGCATGGAGATGGGAAGATGTTGCGCCGCTGTTGTGTAATGCCCAGGCAGGCTTCGGATGGAGTGGAAGGAGCAAGTGTGTGTATTTCTGCCACGCTAATGCCTTGCGACAGTGAGCTTGTGTGTGAGCAGAGGGGTGAAGCTGGGGGTGGGGTGCTTCTGGTCTGACACATTCAACCGAAGGCCGCGTCAAGCTCATGGCTCCGACTGTCAATTCCATTTCCCGCGCTCTCTTCCACCACAACCGAGGTCTTATTTTAAGAAGCCGGTGTCGTGGCGGGTTGACCAGCACGTGCTTCCACACGCAGCTGTAAACACCGGGATCAGAAGTGAGCTGATCAACTTCTGTTAGCCCCCCAATGCCGGGTCCCTGGTGGTTCGCTGTGAAAGTAAAAGTAGTTTAATCAGTCCGGCATTTGCACACTAAACAGGTAAGACGTGGGAACGAAATCAGTATTGAATGATAAGTTCAGCCTTTCGCTCTGCTACTGGCAGGCCTGGTTAAATATTTCACGTCGGAGAAGGCGGGGTGGAGACTTATCCAGGCTTACTGTCATTGTCAAGAGAAGTGCCTGCAGAGAGGGAATTAAAGGCTGCACAAAATCTTACTCCAGCAGCAGACTGGAGAAAGTCAAGACGTACATATTCAAATCTAGATTTGAAGGATCCATTAGCATTTAAACCGCATATTTGGGCTGAAGCAAAGTCTCCTCCTTTTTTAGGGGGCTATTTAGGTAATGGCACCTTCCATGGGACATTAATCTGTGTAATTAGGTTTCGGCTGCGCCGTGTAAAATAGATTGCTCTGGCATACTTCACTCCTCTGCAACCTGCACCTAGGAGAACTTTGGTGGAATGAACATTTTTTGGCTGTGCACCTTCCTATTTATTTTCTTGCCAGCCCAAAACATCCATCAGCTCCTATAAGGGGAGATTACATCAGGCCTGATCTGATCCAAAATAAGAGCTGGCCATGCTAGGCCTGCTGCTGTCCGGGTGATGACACAGCAATATCATAACGTGCACTGGAAGACTGAGAGATGCTCGAGACTGAGAAGTCGGCATTAATGAAAATCTATTTTCGAAATGCATGTTACAGATCATATCGTGAACCAGTGTTATTTTAATGTCATTATTATGCTACTATCATTTTTATTAACTTTTAAAAAAATTTAAATTGAATCTTTTCTGTTTTCACTTTAATTTGAGTTAGTTTTAGAAATTTTGTGTTTTGTCATATTTAGTAGTTTTTTTTAATATATCCATATTTTTTGTTAATTGTTATTTATTTTTAGTTACTTTAGTACTTCATGTTAAATTAAACGAAAAAAAAGAAATGTGGCCTTGGCAACTAGCTGAAAATGAGTAAATTAGTAAATTTAAATTAGTGCTGTCAAATGATTAATCGCATCCAAAATAAATGTTTTTGTTTACATAATATGTTTGTGTACTGTGTATATTTATTATGAATATATAAACACACATATACAGTATATATTTTGAAAATATTTACATGTATATATTTATATTGATGTGATTTATATTATATAAATATATTTATATATTTATTTAAACAACATATTTCTCTTAAATATATAATTGCATGAGTGTGTATTTATATATACATACAGTAGACATATATTACGTAAACAAAAACTTTTATTTTGGATGCAATTAATCACAATTAATCGTTTGATAGCACTAATTTAAATGAACATTTTTTATGGTTTTACTTTTAGCAATGATAATAACTTCATTTTAAAAAAATGTGTAATCAAAATGTCGTAACTGAACTTTCTGGGGAAAACGAGACTTCTTTTGTGACGTTTACACGACTTCTCCAATCATTTAATCCACTTAAAGGGTTAGTTCACCCAAAAATTAAAATTAGCCTGTGTTTTACTCACCATCAAAGCATCCTAGGTGTATGTGACGTTCTTCTTTTGGACGAATCCAATCGGAGTTATATTAAAACTTGTCCTGGCCCCTCCAAGCCTTTCAATGGGGGTAAGCGGGTGTTGGTTGTCAACAGTTCAGAAGACGTGAAATAAAATGCATGCATCCATAATAAAACGTCCCTCACACTGCTCCGGGGGGAGAATAAAGGCCTCCTA